AAGAGTAGAGGTTCATTTTTGTACATGTGGATATTCAGTTATTCAGTTAAATGATTTGAATTTCTCATCAAATTATCTTGGAACCACTGTAAAAAAAAATCACTTGACTAGACATACATCAGCTATTTCTGGCTAATTATTATGTCCCATTGACCTACATATCTGTCCTGTGTAACCTATATCTTGATTATTGATTCATGTCTTCCAATTTCCAAAGACACCATATTTTACTCTCTGATACCTTGAGTGGTCTCTAATCAGGAGATTTAAAAGTAAGGATTCTTAGGAATTCTCCTTAAACAAATAATTTTCAAGAAGTACTAGCACCCACCAAAGGCCTAGGACCAAGGGGACACCACAGGAAAGAACAGTTTCCACTCAAAACCCACAGATTAAGATCTAAGCAACCACAATTACAGATTATCACACTTTAATTTGCTTGCTCTTTCCCACTCTCTATTTTTTTGGCTTGTTGTTTTTCCTTTCCTCTTTGCTAATTTAAGGTTCTAAGTTGTTAACAGAGCTAACATTTAACTATGATATCTGTAATAAATTAACAAGTAACCATGGTCCCTGTCATTAATATTGATTTTTATATCCTTAGCCACTCCTTGGTTCAATTACATTTTGTATCCAAATCCTTTAAAAACTGTAGCTAGGCATTGAATTTATTCCAAAAAGTGACTAAAAATCCAAATTTAGTCATGTATTATAAGAAACTGGTATTATAAAAAACCTGGGTAGCACTTCTTTAGTCCCAATTTCTTGTAATACATGGGATTAATTTCCTGGTGTATTTGTGGTAAATGAATTTTTTGAGAAAAATATCACAACTGGCCAAAAAAAGAAAGAAAAGTAACCTAAAACCCTCTTTCATGCTATACCTTGACAGAAAGGGACTTTGTCTCTACAAAAACAAAATTTGAGAATTTTTTCTTTTTGAAAGTTAGCTTTGATAACCAAACTTTCACAGAATTAAGACTGGGAAAGAACTAGGGAACAGATGATACATCTTGGGTAGCTGTACCACTTTTATAGACCTTACAAATAAGCAGCACTACTTATCCTCAACACCAAGCTCTTTTGCATTAGATCTATTTGATAATCTCTATAATAAAAACGAGATTGCCTGGTTGAGTACCACTCTTATTAAGTGGTAACAAAACATTACAAGACTATTTCACAACTTCACAAGAATATTTTGGCTATAAAGAGTTTATGATCCTTAATGACTAGTGATATAAGACTCAGCTCAAAAGCCTGTTGGCTACTGTCCTTAAATCAGACAGTGGTTTGTTATATCAGTACACTGATATCTGTCCTCAAAATAAAGGTCACTTTGGCTCTTGGCTATGCTCAAGAGAGGGAGAGAGAGATACAGAGACAGAGACAGAGAATACAAAAGAGAAAGAACTTATATCTAACTCAACTAGAGAAGAAAAAAATTTGGCCTTAGTTGGAGTCCAAAAATTTTAACCCCTGAAAGACAATTTTGGATAGTTCACTTCAAGCCTCTCCTTTTTATCCTCTATAAAAGACACCAAGAGTGAAGAGACTCCTACAAGCTATGAGAATAGCAGGAGAACTAGATAAGATTCTGCAAGCCATAAAACTCTTTCCTCAAGATGTTCATGAAATTGAACAGTCAGTAGTTTAAAATCCAGCCATATTAGATATAATACTTGCCTCTCAAAAGTGAACATGTATAGTCTTATATCCCTACAAACTTCTCCAGGATCTTAGATATTACTAAACAGACTCAGGAAATAAAGAAAATACAAAATTAGATTTTGCCCATTTCTCTGTATCAGGTGCTGCAGGGACTAGGTACTGGGTATGGGATCTGTATTTTTTGTGTGGTAATTAGAGTTCTTAGATCCTGGCTTAGATTTGGGCTACAAACTCCAATTATGATCCCTCTCTTAGTTGTTGCTTGTGATACAGAGCTCAGATGCATGACCTTCATCTTAAATGCTGTTGCACAGCCACCATCCAGTCAAATGATCCAACAAATGATCATCTAACAAAAGAACAAGAAAAAAACAACCCCCCAAAATTAAATATGTGATCATAATACCTCAAAGAGTGGTGCAGGTCTGGATTCATCATATCCCCAGATGGCAATGGTCTATCCTCCAGCTCAAGTTGAAGAATTACCACAAAAGGGAGAGCTAAGAATTGAGGCTACCTGTGTGGTCGTAATTCCCTTCTCCACAAATTATTTTAGGTTCACATTGGTGCATATCCTCATATGTCCTAGTCAATCCTTCAAATACATTTTGTAATTGTGAGAAAGAACCCAATTACTTTTTCTATGACATTTTGTATCCCTAAGTTCCAGTGAAAAACAATGAGCAGCAATCTAGTATATTATACTAGCTGAATAAAATGTTTTCGTGGTCTAGAACTATATGTTCACATATGTCATGACTGACTCAGTCCCTTGCCTCTCTAAAATTAGAAATTAAATGGAATTTAGTTTATCAGTGCGTGGTCTTTAGGATTACCTCACAAAAGGTAGTGTTATTTGTTCAAAAAGGATGTCAAAGTTTGGAGAATATTTTTCATAAATTTTGGTCAAAGTTGTTGAGACAACAGATATTAGCAAGTTATAATATACATCTAAGTTCTATATTTGCTTACTATACTATAAAAAGTAAAACGACATAAAAAATCCAAAGTAATTTTTAAATGCATAATTTCTTCCAAAAGTTAAACAAAAGTTTAAATGTAATTTTCTGTTATGGAATCTAAATGTATTACTTATTTCAGGTTAACAATTTAAAATACATATTTTTTCAGGGTGATAAAAAATACTCCAAATAAATTTTGCCTTTTACCAATAACAATGCTTATCTATGAATGCTACCATGTTTTCTTATTTGGAAAACACTATATTCCCCTCCAAAATATCTCACGTTACACACCACCACCACTCATTCCCTATACCATCTTCCACCATTGCCAATGTTTTCCTGTTTGTTTTCTTTGTAAGCAAAGACATAAAAAGTAACTTTGATCTGGTTCTCTTATTAAAATTAGAAGTGGATCTACGTCTGTTTCCTCCCTGAAAGCCACTCTATTGGATATTTATCAACACCATTATATGACACTTCTCATTTCTTCACACTCAAGAAGGAGTCCCTGAAGTGGTACACTGGACATAAATATGTCAGTTTTTGTCAGGTATCAAATTTTTCTGCATCCTTTCTCTCTCTCTATAGAATAGAGCAAATGTAGAAGAGAGAGGAAAAGGTTCAGGTTCAAAAACAACACAGGTTGGAAAGAAAATGGAAAGAAAATGACTAACTTATAATGGTTCATTCTCCTTTCTCATTTCTAGCTTACAAAGATCTTTCTATACTTAAAGATGTACTTTTAGAGATGAAAAAAAATTCTACAGCCACTAGATGTCATTGTGATGTCATTCAAATACCAATGGGTAACCATATATCTGATAAAACTCAAAAGAAGGATTTATGCAAGAAGAAAACATGTAATATGTTGTCATTATCTCCAAAATGGTGATAAAATACTCCTTTCATCAAGGAAAGGCTAAAGTTCCTCCTCCATGCTGAAAAAATTCTCCAAGAACCTTGGGAAAACAATTAATTTTGGTTATTTGACATCATTCTAGCCTTACTACCTCAAAAGACCCTGTTCATCCTACACGTGTTGTAATTCTGAAACTATCAACTGTTCCTGTTGCTACCTACCTAACTTTAAATATCAGAAAACAATGGATTTGTGAAAGCAGCTGAAGGCAAGTTTTCATGTAAAGAGGGAAAGGGAGAAACTTGAAGAAGTTCATATTGGTCATTTTCTTTCCAACATATATGTATATATGTTTACATACACACACATATATGTATACACACACACACATACACATATACACATGTATAGTCTCTCTTATAGCTAGCACTGGTTCTGACCAATCACAAAGAATTCTGCTGAAATGTATCTGAAATAGATTTGCTTTTCTAATATAGGTATGCCACTTTTCTCCTGGTTACTTCCTTTCTTTTGTGGTGCTTGCTCTTTAGATATGGGACTAAAGATGGCAAATTGCTTATGGCCTTAAAGCAATCATGAGATAACCATGATGATTAAAGCCACATGAAAAGGATAGTGGAGTAGACAGATAGAAGGAGCTTAAAACATTAATGACATAGTGGGGCTATTGTTATTGAAACAATAAACATCTCATTTTATCAAGCCATTGTACTTGAATATCTACTGCATTCATTTAACTACAACCTTTGACTGATAGAGATGTCAACTTAGTAGACATATTTACCCAAGACTAAAGTTTTGTCAGGCAATTATAGCAGAAAGACTAAAAAAAAAAAAATAAATTGAAACAATTGACAAGAGACTGACAGAAATCCAATCTAGATTACATGGGTATGGGAAAAATAAAAGAGAAGGTATATAAAGAAGCTGCTATTTAATTGGGAAAATTAAAGGGAGAAAATAAATCTTAATAAAGTTGGAGAATGGCTGTGGAGGGAATAAATGAATGAAATGACAGGAAAAATAAAAGTGATAGAGTGATACATTAGAGTTTCAGGTTTCATAACGAAATAGTTCCTGGTAGCAACACATTTCATGATCCAGCCAGAGGTAATAGTGGCTAGAGAAGAGGAAAGTAAAAGTCTCTAGAGTTGTGATAAAGGATGTTGTCATGTTGTCATCCACATAGACCATGATGACAGGCAGAAAAGTAGCAGGATATGAGTTTAAAGCTACATAATCAAAGTTTTAATAAAATCTTTAAATGTTAATGAAAAGACAGCAGTGTGGAAGAGTAGAGGGTAGTATAACAAGACCACATGAATTTCAAGAGGATACATTTTATACAATACAGAGTAACAGGAAGCTAACAGTACCTATTTCTTCCCAATCCTTTGTTACTTGGAAGTAATTTCCAGTTACCTTACTAATTATCTTTAAGCAGATACTTATTAAATGTTTATTAAATAATAAAGAATGACTACCTTCTCAATTCCTGATGATATTCAGTCCCCACACAGAAGTCCTCTGAATCACAGGAAGAAGTTGATGATAGGTTTCTAAATTATTTTCCCATCTTCCTAAAAATAAATATATATATATATACTTTTATGTATAAATACACACACATACTATATACATAGATAGAGAGATAGATATTAGGCTGCCACTTTAGAAAGGTTTGAAATTTTAAAAAATGAATATGGGCTTCACCCATGGTAATATGTCCCTACTTTAATGCAATTTTCACCTAAACATTTTTCCCTTTATAGAACCTATTTGATAAGGAGTCCATTCCTTCAGTAGAAATAACCATACTCCCAGTTTAGCTTCACGACGGAATTTTTCTTCAAAACTGCCTCTTGATTAGGATGTAGATGACCAGGATGTTCATTTCTAAAGTTAATTTCCTCTTCCTTAACTGGCCCTCCCATGCATCTTTGCTGTTGATTTGGTCTAGATTCTACAGACTCACCTGCTACATAAAACTAGGTAGATACACCATCTCTTTGCCAAGAAAAATTAAGCTTACCCATCTCAATCTACCGCACTAACAGCTTCAATTTCCAATTGCCATGCTGCACCAAGTTACCTAACACATCTGTTTAACCTTATAATAATTTTTCAAAGTTTATCTTTCAGTATCTACTATTTCTTTTTTTGAATGTGGCTAAAAAAGGTATTTTATGCAAAGATACTTACATTCTTGCTTACCACAGTTTATTAAATCCTACATAATCTAGCTTCAACCTACCTCTCCCATTTCTACTCATATCGCTTTCCTCCAGGCCACTAAGGTCCAGCCACACTGACTTTTATTTTACTTGCACAGAAAATTTGTTTCTAACACTTTCTTCTGCCTAGAGTGCTATACTATCTGACCAGGTTTGGCTCCTTTTTATAATGTGGATCCCAACTTAAATAACACTATTTATTAAAGAGACTGTTCATGCTCACCTAAAGTATCAAGTCATCATCAGTATTAGTTTCCTTCATGTCATGTATCACTACCTGTGGTGGGCTGAATAATGGTCCTCCAAAGATGTCCATCTCTTTATCCCAGAGATAATAATGAATTGGTACCTTACATGCCAACATAGACTTTGTATATGACTAAATTAAAAATCTAGAAGTGAGGAGGTTATCATGGATTATCCACATAGACCCAATATAATCACAAGTATTCTTATATGAGAAATGCAGGAGAATCAGGGGTATGGACAATAGATATGATAATAGGAGCAGAAATTGGAGTCTTGTATTTTGACTATGGAGAAAGGGAACACAAGCCAAAGAATGCAGGAGGTTTCTGGAAGCTAGAAACGGCAACGAGATAGATTCTCTTCCAGATCTCCCAGAGGAAGCACAACCCAGCTAACACCTTGATTTCAACCCAGTGAAACCAATTTCAGACGTCTGACCACTAAAACTGTAAGATAAATTTGTGTTGTTTTAAGTCATTGGTTTGTGGTAATTTATAGCAGCAACAGAATACTAATATCCTATCTGAAATTTTTCTTGTTGTATTTATTTGTTATTTATCATCCCCAGGCCCATATGTATGCAGAGTTGGTCTGCTGAGTCACAGAATGGAGAAGATATGTTGTGAAAGACTCTAAGTTTAAAGGGTATCTTTTATCAACTAGAAGATTTTCACTGGTTCTGTTCTGATACATTCTACTTATTGCTCATTAAAATCTTATTGTCTATGTCCAATATTTATACCCTTCCAAATCATGGTCTAGTGAAGACTATTGAAAAACAAAACAAAACAAAACAAAAAATAATCTTAATTAGATTCTTAAGGAGATATTTAAAACAGAACATTAAAAGAGCTATTTGAAAACTTATCAAACTTAAATATTATTAAAAATTTTATTCTATCTCCAAAAAGCCTAAATTTAGTCAATACAATTGGTAGACTTTGGGCTTAATCATGAGAATTGGTAACAAAGTCATATTTGGGTAACATAGCCACCCATGTTATAGCTTTACCTAAAATAGAGGATTGTGTAACATATATTTCAATCAATGACTATGAGTACTAATTCTCTGATTTATCAACTCAGTCTATACTTCAAATTTAGTAAACTTTTCTATGGCTGTATTCTACTTATTTCTCCTGTCATAGTTCATCCGAATGAAAAATCTTAGGTAAAACACAAAGAGAAGATATTTTGTACCAGATTTTCTCAAAATCTGTTCTAATTCATGAATTCCAATATATCTTGGGGTAGTGCCTTTAGCCCAGGGACAAAGCACCCTATAAAATATGCTATGTAGCAATTCTCTTAATTCTTGTTGACTCAAGTATGTACTTCAAACTCCACCTGCCACCCTTTTCTAAGCTTTTGCTTTCATGGTCTCTCCAATCTTCATCTCCTTGGCTTCATAATAAGACTTTTTCCCTTCTGTTTTACCACTTTGTGAATACAGAGAACTGTATTGGCTGGCACTTGCTTGCTCTCTGTATTTCTCCCCACTCCTTTATCAAAACAATACTACTTATATCTCAATAAAGCTGTCACCAATAAAACTGAAAAACAAAAACAACAAAAATACTAGTGTATAGTTGATTGGTTTTTTTCTCAAGATCCCAATTTCAATAATACAGCAGGATAATGTTTCATCTGATTTATCTGGATGATCTGAAAAGATGTTTCTATTCAAATCTCCCACTGTGAAGTTGGCCCATTTCTTTCAAAACTAACAGATAATTAATGACTTAAGCTATAATATATTAACTTTCTTATGTTTCATAAACTTCCTGGCATATGATTTGATAATCCTTACACTCCAAAAGCATTCAAGTCACCCAGAGGGATTTCTTTAGTTTGCACGTAGATATAATTAATTGTGATTAGTTTATAAATGAAAGTGAAGAGGGAATAAAGGTGGAACATACACAGGCTTTGCTGTAATTTATTCTGGATTTTGACAAACAGTGTAAAGGACCAGAAGTACCAGGCAAAAGTCTTTAGCTTTTCTATGTACAGTATAGACAAGAGAATTAGTACAGCCACTTATCTGTTTAGTTACTATTACTTTTTAATGGATTTATTGGAATATTATTCTCATGTCATAAAGTTAACCCATTTAAAGTGTACTATGTTTTTCAGTATATTGTGCAACAACCACCATAGTCAATTTTAGAACATTTTTATCACCCCAAAGAAGAAACTTCATGCCATTAGCAGTCACTTCTCTTTTTCTCCCAACCACCCACCTAGCCCCCCAGCTTTGGCAACCTCCCAGCCTTGGCACCCACCAATCTAGTTTCTGTCCTTCTGGATTTGCCTATTCTGGACATTTCATACAAATGAAATCCTACAATGTGTGACTCTTTATGATTGGCTCCTTTCACCAAGAATAAAGTTTTCAAGGCTCATCCATGTTATAGTATGTATCAACATGTCATTCCTGTTTAAAAATTAATATATTTTATTCTTTAGTTTTAATTTTACAAAAAATTAACGGAAAGTATAAAGAGTTCCCATACACTGCCTCCCCCCTCTCCAAAGTTTTTTGTATTATTAACATCTTGCATTAGTGTGGGACACTTGTTACAATTGATGAGCCAAATTGATACACTGTTATTAACTAAAGTCCATAGTTTTCAATAGGGCTTATTCTTTATTTTGTACATTCTGTGGGTTTTGACAAATGTATAATGACATGTATCCACCACTGTAGTGTCAAACAGAACAGTTTGACCCTAAAAATCACCTTTGTTACATTTATTTATCCCTCCTCTCCCCAAACCCCAACAATCACAGATATGTTATTGTCTTAAGTTCTGCTTTTCCAGCAAAATATAAAAATATTTTGCTAAGAATATTCAACTCATTATAGAATATATACTATATTTTATTTATTCATTCATCATTTCATTGATAGACAATTGAGTTACCATTTTTTTTAGCTATTATCGATAAAACTGCTATAATTATTCATGTGAATGTATTAGTATGAGCATATGCTTTCATTTCTCTTGGGACTATCCTAAGAGTAGACTAGCTGGTCACATGGCAATTCTCTGTTTAACATTTCCAGGAACATTTTCAGAAACTGCCAGACTATTTTGCAAAATAGATGCACCATTTTACACTCCCCCCAGCAGTATGAGAGTTCCACTTTCTCTACATCCTTTCCAACACTTTTTATTACCTGTCTCATTTTTTATTATAGCCATCCTAGTGGGTATAAAGTAGCATCTCATTGTGGTTTTGATTTATATTGGCTAATGATGTTGAGCATCTTTTCACGTGCTTCTTGGCCATTTGTATATTTTCTTTGGCAAAATGTCCATTCCGATCATTTGCCCATTTTTTTATTTGAATTATTTATCTTTATATTATTGATTTGTAGGAGTTCTTTATATATTCTGAAAAAAGTCCTTAAGCAGATATATATTATTTGAAAATAATTTCAGGTAGGGGTGATTAGGTTTAAGCAAAATGGCTCTGGTACCTTTTTATATTGCAAAGAATCCCAAATTCATGCACATTATATTCAGTAAGCTTCAAATAGTGGTTGTATCTTTTAACTCTTCTCAAATTCTGTTACCAGAGTTGTTATTACTAGGTAAAAAATAAGGAAATTCTACACACATACAAAAGTGTATATACATGGCAATTTATTTCTCCACATTCTGTAATATATTTACTTATAAAAATTATCTTTCATTGGGAAGTGTGCAAAAATAAATTTTTCATAATATGAGTGTTCAGATTTCAAAAATATATTTACTACAGTAATTCTCCCTGTATCTAATGTATTTAGTTATAGTAGCCATCAAAAAAACTCAAAAGGTGTTAGATTTTGCAGATTCAGTACATTTTAATTTTAGAATTACAACAAAGGCCAAGAATCTAATTTTTTTTTTTTTTTTTTTTTGAGACAGAGTCTCGCTTTGTTGCCCAGGCTAGAGTGAGTGCCGTGGCGTCAGCCTAGCTCACAGCAACCTCAAACTCCTGGGCTTGAGCGATCCTTCTGCCTCAGCCTCCCGAGTAGCTGGGACTACAGGCATGTGCCACCATGCCCGGCTAATTTTTTATATATATATATCAGTTGGCCAATT